ATTGTATTGACTCTGATATTAGGGCCCAATTCCATGGCTAATGTTTTGGTCATCATATCAACTCCCGTTTTGGCCACTTCGTAGGCCAGACCTAATGGGGTCTAATTGTAATAACAATTATATTAATGATACATGGCACTTACTTATTTTATATAATTGAGTTAATTTAAGTTTTATTTTTTTTGTAAAAATAGTTTACCGGAAGTGTCGATGAAATACTGGAAATACTAATTATAGTGCCGTTGGTTTCCTCCAAATAAGGGACAGCCATATGAGTTAACTCGACGTAAGCCCTGAGGTTGAGTGCAATGGACGCATCAAACAATTTCATAAAATTTTTGTCTATGAATGGCCCGTAAAAGCCGGCGCCGGCGTTGTTGACCAGTATATCCAGTTTGCCAAAGGTTTTGATGGTTTGGTTCAACAGATTATTCAAGTCATCAGTTTTGGTCACATCCGCCACAACAGCCAACGGCTAATCATATGAATGGAAAATATTTGTTTGTATTTGTTGTTAGAAATTCTATTCAAATAGTTTCCAAACCTTTAACTTCTTTGGCGACAATTCTTGGACTTCTTCGGCAATTCTCTCCACTTCTGCGGCTTTCCTTCCGGTGATCACAACATTAGCGCCCAATACCGAGAATAGTTTGACAATACCCTCGCCGATGCCAGAACTGGAACCGGTAGTTAAGATGACTTTTCCCGTGAAATTGCGGGCTTTTCCCTCTTCACTGTAGTCTTCATTATCCAAATCGTAATAAATGTCTGCAGAGACTAATGAAACACATATTAATGCCGCATAAATATATGCATTCATTTTAATACTGTATATATTGCTTGTAATATTGTTTTAACAATTTATTAAATTTGTTTCTAGTTAAATTCATATTTTGAAATTTTGTATACCTCCTTTTATACTTTATTTTCAACGAAACCTTTTTGACTTTGAAAATTTTATTTTTTATCCAAAAGCACTTATAATAGATATACAATGTAAGATTTGATACTTAACGTGTTTTGTTTTCTGTATCAATTATGACAAATAATCTCATCAATACTATGTACGATTGTCCTAATTGGCCTTGATTAGTCTACATTATGTAGACTCTACATTATAATATACTTGTATATTATGCCCGAATTAATAACTGTCAAGTGTTTAACAACTTATGATACTTGAATTAAGTGTCAATTATGTTTAGTACAATTTGGGAGCAATCGGACTTAATGAATGTTATCATAATTGTATAATCAGTATATGATACTAATACTTCAGAAAAGGATATTAATATTAAGAGATCTTTATAATTATCTACTATATTTTTGGCTAAACTATGCATAATTCTTTATAAGTTTAATTATTTTTAAAATTTGCTTTTAACCAAATTTTTATAATTTATGATATAATAATAAAAACAAATAATTGATTACTTTTAAGTTACTTTTAGGTTCACTTTTAGTACATTAAAAATATTGCTTCAAATAATACACTGAGTTTGACATTTTAAATGTCACAATTATTTGATCTGGGGAATAAGATATTTATTGAATTAATTGTTTTTAATTTACAATTAGTTTTGTTTAAACCATTGTATTTATATAAACTTTTTTTAATTTCAAAATACTGTATTACTAATATTAAAATGTCTTAACCTAGATATTAATAACCCCTCCATCCATCACAATATTAGCGCCGGTAATAAATCCGGCTTCTGGTGAGGCCAGGAATGCCACCCCATTGGCGATGTCTAAGGATGACCCGGCTCTTCGCAGTGGTATTCGTCCAATCATTGCATTGAAACTTCCGGCAAATTTTTCCGGATCCGCCACCGGATTATTGCTTATAAAATTAGTTAGCACTGGACCCGGACTATACCATAAATGTTAGTTATTTAATGTTTAGTAATTATTGAATAAATTAATATTTTAAAATCTCATACTTAATAACATTGACTCTTATTCTTGGACCCAATTCTGTGGCCATAACTTTAGACACGATATCGAGGGCTGCTTTGGACGCTGAATACGAAAGTCCAACAAATGTCTGAAATAATTTTGATATTACGGTATAATGTTATGTTTTAAGTTTCATATATTAATACCGGTTTGAGAGCAGCGATACTCGAAATACTGATAATACTTCCGTTGGTTTTGTCCAAATAAGGGACAGACAT